CCATTGTCGCCCGCTGGTCTGCAAGTTAGCAAGCAGACGCGACAACCCTTTATTCTTTGCAATAAAGCCTGTTAGTTGTACGCTCTGGTCTCATGCCTCTTCCTTACCATCGCTCCACAACAAGTTCTATTGATTATGGACTTCCTGTAGCTCTATAGAGAATTAGAAAATGTACTTTAAACAACAGATTGCAAGCCTGCACCCATCAGTGCTACAATCTAAATTAAAGATACCCTGCTGACGGCCATCTTTCCCTGACTGAATGCATTCAGTAAAGGAAAGCCTACTTCTGATTTTGTTATGGAATTGTTTTCTAATATTCAGTAGGTGTGTACCTTTAATATAAAACTGTTACAACATATCCTGCTCTTGCAGTGATAAAACACATACCTTGATTTTGATATTCATGCATCACATCTTTGAGCTTAGCAAAGGACAAATGGAGACTGAATTTTTCTGCAGAGTGTTTTCCTTTTCTAACTTACAGCAGCTCTAACATTTTAGCAGCTTCTAAAGACAGTACCGGAATGCAGATTGCTGCTGTGTTATTCTGTAATTTTAAATATGCAGACAGTGTGATTCTAATCTTAGTTCTACCAAGGGGTCTGTATTGCCTCATAGAAAGATTAATTACAGCTCACATCAATTTTGGCCTCTAGATGCCATGTAAAGAATATAACATAGACAAGGAAGCTGATGAATTTTGATTTGGTCCATCAGCAAAGAGAACGAAGGGGAGGGGACAGAATTTTAAAAGGGTCCTTTTTAATAAATTGAGTTCTTAAAGCAAAATATAGATACAGTGGAGCATAAAATGGGTCTTATTAAAAGACAATCATTTCTGTAGGTCAATTTATAAGATTAAAAGAAAATAGAGAGGTAATGTATTCTGCATTCCTGCTGTTCAGGGTTAAAAATAATATAAGTCATAAAATATAGTAAAATTATGTTATGACATAAACGTTGTGGATTCTGTGGACAGGATGCTGTAAACTAGGGGTGTCAAACTTGATTTTATTGAGAGCCACATTAGGATTGTGTTTGATCTTGGAGAGTTGGGGGGTGGGGCATGAGAAGAGGATGTGGTCATCGTGGGTATGGTGAGGGTGGCGTGGTCATGGTAGGCGTGACACAGGACTCTTGTCATGGGTTACATGTGGTGGCCAAGTGCTAAGACAGGACTTCCCTGATACCCTCCCTACTCTCATTATACAGGTAATCCTCATGTTACAAATGTAATAGTGCCTGCCAATTACATTCATAACCCAAGGATTCATTTGATTGAATCATGTTAAATGAATGTGATCATTCCCTGCTTTCCCCAATGCATTTATTAATTAAATGTGCAGGTCATTAAATGCACATGAGGTATCTCAAACTGGGAAAGAGCATGCAGGGCCTAGTACTGCAGCAGGTCAAGGCCTTCCCCAATCCACTGACATATCTCATGCTCCTCTGGAGTCCCGACAATTGCTTTCCTCCATCCTGTCGCATTGAGTCCCCATAGACTGGGCCTGCTTTGCTAGCATCCTAGATTCCACTTACTCCTTTTCAGTCTGTTTCCCATGGATTACTTACTTTTTGAAGATCTCCAGAGCTTCAGAAGAGGCTGACCCACTGGCAGAGAAGCCAAAGTATTTTATTCGGATGATGGCAAAGCTGTAAAAATGTGAAATCTAAGGAAAATTTTTCAACAGCTTCTGAATAAAAGACTTCAGCTTGGGGCCATATGGCCAGCAGGCCCCTGATAATAGAAGGGGCATTGGTACTTACCTGACACGCCCTTTCTCTGTGAGCTGTGAAGAGCATCCATTGTTTGGGATGATGCTTCTGTCGCTCGTTTGATAGGCTGGGCTTTAATTGAGGGGACACTCCTCCTCCTCCACGGGACTCCTCCCTAGCCTCCCCAATTTTGGCGAAGTTGAAGTGATGAAATATTTCTTCTCCTTCACCCTTTCTAATACTTGGCTGGAATAGCATCTCACCAGACGAATAAGGGTGGGGATGGATGTTCTTCACAGCTCACAGAGAAAGGGTGTGTCAGGTAAGTACCAATGCCCCTTCTCTAGATGAGCTGTTCAGAGCATCCATTGTTTGGGACATACCAAAGCTTGGCGTGTCCTACGGGAGGACTTCCGTCTGGTTCGGATTCCCCTTTTTCTTGGTCCCTATGGAACCTTTGTAACACTCTTCTGTCAAAAGCAGCCTCTGTAGAGGCAAAGACATCATTCTAATAGTTTCTAAATAAAAGGTGATGGTGAGGCCCATGGTGTCGCCTTGTAAATTTTCGCTATTGGCGCTTGTGGCCCATGTTGTCAACATCACAGTGCTCCAGGTCAAATGAGCAGTGATGCCCCTGGGTACAGGAAGAGATTGTGTTTCATAGGACTTGGGAATTGTGCTCTCAGCCACTTACCGGTCATTGAGGAAGAGGTCTTGCGCCCAATGGTGGGTGATTGAAAAGAAACGAAGAGAATCTTTGTTTCCTAATACACTTTGTGCGGTTGAAATATATGCAGAAAGCTCGCCTTACATCTAGATTGTAGTATTGTCATGCCAGATGTTATGTCGGTTTCAGACAAATCTGCAGGAGTATCAGTTCCTATGGTCTGTAAAAACCCAAAATTTATCTATGGGTAAAAGATGGATCTGGACTAAGGACCACTTTGTCTGTGTGAGAAATACAGAGCTCCTGTCTAACTGACAAGGCTACTAGATCCAAGATGTAACTGGCTGATGTAATGGCAATCAAGGTAACCACCTTGTACGTTAGGAATGGAGATGCATGGTCTACATGCGCTCAAAGGGAGTTTTCTTGAGTGCAGTAAGGACCTTGTTGAGGTCTCATGTGTGATATCAATGCACTACAGGAGGCTGTAAGATTGTAGCCCCGTGCAAGAAACTTGCATATGCATGGGTGATGAGAGATGGACTGCAAGTCTCCTAGTGATGACCGATGCTAAGGCCTCCCCTTTGCCTGTTTATATGAACTAGATAATAATAATATGTAATTTAAATAACCCTGCCATCTAACAGGTGTTCCCCTGAGATGGACAGCCAGAGCCATCAGAACCTTCGTAAGAACCTTGGGCAGATGACAACCCAAAAGACAGTGCAATGTATTCAAAACATTGAGTATTATAACAAAAACTAAGAGGTTTGCTATGTGAGGATCTAATTGGAATGTGAGGATGGGCCTCCATTAAGTCAATGGAGGGTAGAAAATCACCCCTTCTGAAGCTCAGAAGTATGGAGTTCAGTATACTCATATTAAGCTTCCTATGAACTATGGATCGATTAAGTCATTTTAAAACTAAAATTGCCCCTGCTGATCCGGTGCCACAGGTCAGTTGCCTGGATCTCCAATAAATGAACAATAGCTGTCTCCATCATGCTTCTTTTAACAGGATCCCCAGAGAGAGAGCTAGTAATGCAAAGGTTCTGGGGAGAGGATAGAAATTCTATAGCCAGGCCTAATCTGATCTCTAACCCAGGAAACAGAGGTAGAGGCACCCCATCTGTCTGTGAAAGGCTTGAGCCTTCCACCAATAAGGGCACAGTCGTGAGGCCTATGTTGTGCCTCAGAGACCTCTATTTCATGTTCCTGAAGAGATTCTCTTGCTCCGCTCTCCCCTTCAGTATCTATTACCAGATCAGAAGCTATCTGACTGTTGGTGATTCATGTGTCCAGATGGTCCCTGGAGTCTAGAGAGAAAAAGTCCCTGGTAGAGGGAACCTCCAAAAAGCTAGGAAGGACTATTTTGGGTTCTATGAAAAGAGGGGAACTTATATTCTGCTTCTAGTCTCTATCAGAGATAAGTCAGGGGCACCACCAACCAAATTATCTCCCTATATTGGGGAGGAGGAAGCTTCCATTAGTTGTGTGATATCTGCTTGCCAATGTCTGAGCCATAGCAGTAGGCGAGGAGTAACCTGAGATGCCCTGGCTCGAGCAGATAATTTAATAGAGTTTTGCGGCATCCTTGTGTGCCCTGATATTGAAATTTGAGATAATCTCCCTCAGATGGCGGAGCAACCTGAGAGACGATCTAGTAAAAAAAAGGGGAATGTGGCCGACTCCACTCTTATGGCTGTCACATCAGATTGACATGCCCTGCATGGAGACAACTTGACCCTATATATCCTTTGACTTGAGAGCCTCTTCTGCTTCCATTGGAATTGCAGAAGAGGATGATAATTGCCATTATTGTTTTATCTACTATCGTGGTGATGAGAAATTTAGCAGAATCAGAAAATCAAATTAAAAGTTTTCTATCATATCCTGTAAGAGGGGTATATGCCACTGAAGAGACCCTTTGTTTCTAGATGAGGTCCAAAAACCTCTGTGGGACAGTTATGACTTCCTCTTACATTATTGGTTGGGAGAAGATTAAATCGTCTGGCCCCTCTTACAGTAACGATTGTTGGGCCGAAGGGAATGGAATATCAAGGCAGGCAGTAGGTTTTTTTGTTTTGAAACAACAAAGACTTGAGGGCGAAACAGACTTGAAGGTCGGTGGTCTGGCTTAATGCCTTCAATGTCTGACATGCCCCCCCCCCTTTTAGGGGATTTGCCTCTGACATATTTTGGTCACTATCGCGAGTAGACCCTTCCTCAACCTGTTCCACCTGATCTCTAGTTCACCCTCATCCTGTGCATCATGTGAATGTGTAACAGGATTATATAATACTCCCCTGAAGGAGGTACCTGCTGGTAATGAAGGTCTGTTCTGCATAGTAACTAAATCGAGCGAGAATCGAGGTCAGATTGTGGAGGCTGCCTAGCCATCAACTTCTACTGTACCCCAGCTGTGATGCCTCTTCAAGTTGTCATGTCCCTCCAGGCCTTCAATTTGTCAAGGATATCCTCTGGGAGGAAGAATTCTGGCATGGGCCCACAACTGTCTGTCAAGCAAGTAGCGTTGCTGAAGGCCTGGGTTGAACCAGTCCCTCTGAGGCTCTCCTGGATGGCATTGAGAGATCCAGAGATGGAGGCAAGGTAAAATATGGAACACTTTACAAAATTGCATTTCATCCTTGTGCAAGGGCCATGCTAATCTTCTCTGTATCATTCATATTTTAGTATATGTGCTGCTGAAGCGAGCACTCTGGAACTGGCACCAGCCTGGCTGGGGAAAAGGACTGAGATTTCTGTTCAACCTCACTCATACATTTTTTTAAAAAAGATATGCTTATCTAACTCATTTTGGCATCTCTTGGCATCCTTTGTTGCCTTAGAGGTCTCTCTAGGACGTTTTGACCTACTTTGAGTTGGTTTATTGTCCTCTGAGGGTATTTTTGGTTGCCCTTGAAGATTCTGACCTAAAGCCCACAAGGTGAGATATCTATATCTATATGTTTATATGTGTATGAGATATTAATGGACTGTTGACTGGTTCAGAGGATTGATGTAAACAGAGGCAGGGAATCCTCTTGATATTTGCTCTCCCCCCCCTTTTTTTGTGTAAATTCAATTTATTATGTTATTATTCATAATAATATTGATATCATTAATAGTTATTATTGATAATATTTTTGTTATATCTGTGCACAGCTACTAACATAAATTGTTTTGCTGTTACCAAACTCATAATTAGATGACTGAATATGGAATCAAATTGTGAGGCCAAATAGAGAACACCTTTCAGGACCCGTATTGCAGTTGGGTGATCCTGCAGTCACTGGCCCTCAACAGCTTCCTGCCCAGGTGGACACGGGCCTTGGCGCTCACTGTTACTGTGCTGCTAGAATTCTGTGAGGGCTGCCAACTTTAAAAAGGGAAGCCCAATAGTCAACCTCAGAAAGAGGTCCGTAATTGGTATAAATTTCCCCTGGACCCTCATGGAGAGATCCTTGTGAGGGGAAGTGGCCTCTCAACAGATAATGCCATGGAATTCTTATTGTGAGCCAATGCGAATCTAACTAGAATTTGAGAATTTGAGCAGGAGAACTCTGAGTCCTGTGTCTCCACCCGATCAATAGCCCTTGCTTCTTCTATATACCTTGCGGGAGTATATCTGAAACTACAGAATCTCCTGTGGAGAGATTACCTGGGGTAATGATGCTCTGTCCTGCTTAGTGACCGGAGTTATAGGGAATTCTATGATGAAGTCTTTTATTTTTCTTCTGTTTTGGAAAAAAATAAAAGAAATTTATTTTCTATCAAATAGAATTAGAATATCTGTTTGCTGTATGTTAGTCTATAATCACAATAAAGATTGCTATGTTATTCTACGTATTTGTGAGAATGTAAAGTCCTTTCCTTCAAACGAAAGGTTATAAAGAACCATGCACTTTGGTTGGTTGGAATCAGTATTGGATATCCTCATTGTTCCTTGGGTTTGTTTTCCATTTTTCCAAATAATATACAAGATATCTTGCATATCAAACATGTTTTTTCCTTTAAAAACATGGATACTATATATCTCAATAAAGGATAGCAAATACTTGGAACTGTTCTTAAAATTAGAGATTTTACCTTAAAGAATATATTATTTCATTATTGAATCCTTATTTTTCTTTCATTGTTAAATGTATGGAATATATTTATCATAAAAAATCCTTTGTCTTTTATTTTTTCATCCTTAATACATTTAATTGTTTAATAATTTTAATTATTCTTTGATATATCAATTATTTAATTAATTCTTTTTAGAAGGGCAATATTTTAAAATATACAACTATGCTGATTTTCTAATTTCTTAAAATATAATATTTGTGTAGTACATTTCAAAAACCAATAAAGGAGAATATTTGTAGGGTTGAAATGAGGAATCCTTAGTTCTCTCTAAGCTTGGTTGTTTTCTTGCAAACATTTCATTACCCAACTAGATAATATCTAGCACTGATGTTGTTACCTAGTTTGGATAATGAAATGTCTGCAAGAAAGCAGCCAAGCTCAGAAGGTATCAAGGACTCCTCATTTTGAAAACTGAACACAAAAGATTACTTTTCAAAAAAAATATTAATTTTATTATAGAATAAAGTACAGTAAGCCCTAAAGACAATAAAACATGAGGAAGAAATAGAATTCCTGTCAGTCATAACAGTATTATTTTTATTATTTTTCTAAAAAAATAATAAAACCTTTTAAAAATTTATCTTCATTAATCAAGATTTACTTCCTTGCAATAGAGAGTAAAGAAACATGGCACTTGAAAAGATGTATAATTCCTTTTCATATGTAGACATATTATTTTGATAATATGTATTTCTTGTGGAAAATGTATCTCTCATATTTTCACACAGTACTAACATAATTTAAACTTCATCTTAGAAAAAGGCTTGATATTTCTATGTTATTATCTAGAATGTTAATGATTATGATCATAATTATAATATTGTTAATAATTTAGTAGATAAATAAATAAAACAATAACCACATGGGAAAAATAATTTATACTGGACCATGATGTGCAAGAAGGGCAGCTGAGAATTCTCCTTTGGGACCTTATTATGATTGAAAGAAAAGAAAAACATGTACTTTTCATTGATGTTGATACTGTTAGTCATAAATAAAGATCGCTGTCCTACACATACTGACAATTGAACAGCAAAGTCTAAAACAGCTAGATTAGATAAACCTTCTGAATCTAAACAATCAGAATTCTATTTATTCTGAGTCCCCACTTATGGGGAGGATTCTAAATATATTCATCTGCATGGGCCAAAACTTCTTTTCTTCTGAAGTTTCCTTTCAGTCTCTGAAAGCTGATAGAAACAAGATCTTTCATGATAGAACTCCCACATACTCCACATACTCATCCCACATGAGTAGCTTCTGAAGTAGCTTCTGAATAGAGTGACAGCACTAAACATGTTAGCTATACAACAATATTCATTACAAGAGCATGCATTTTCAAAATGCACACATGTTGCTGTAGATAGTGCTCCTTATCCCAGATACACTTACATGGTTATAAATTCTATTGAAAGCAGATGAGCAGAGCTAAAATCAATAAAACTTAACAGGAAAGTGATTGCATTTAGGCACAGAGTTTTAAAATAGTTCATAGTGAGGTGGAATCAAATGCTCAGTGACTCACTGAAACTATAGGCTGTTCTTTCCATAAACACCAAACTATTTTATTGCAGTATCTTCAATAAAATAAATTAAAGCCTTCAAACACCCTAAGCAAACTGTACAAAGGTAGAACCCACCCATCTCCTAGAAGAATGAAATATTTTAGGAACTATTAAAAAGACAGAAATTTATATTTACCTAAAGGGAGAAATAGAGAAACATGTTTTTGGAGACAGAAAGTAGCCCCCACCTTTCTTAATAGCCCTCAGCAGATGTCAGCACTTAAGAGCTTATTGAAATAAGCCAATATCTAGGTAGCTCTACTCATAGGCACAGCAAATATTGCGGGCAAAAATCTGTTCAAGACAGGGTATTTTGAAATTCTCTGCAGAAAGGTCTAAACAAAGGTAGGATTAGTCCTCAACCATAATAGGAATTGCCAACACCCTTTCAGTTTCACCACCCCCAGCAAACTTCAACCAAACCTGGGAGCTCAGACAATCTTTAGAGCCAGCTATGACCTCTATATAACCCTTACATGACCTACATAGGAATCTGACAAAAGCCAATCGAATATTAAAGGACATGCTCTTTCACAGGAACAGGAAGCTCAAACTCCATTTTGTCTGCTGCCCAGATGGTGGTATTCAAAAACTTTTACTACCAGTTCTGTGGGCATGGCTTGGTGGGAGTGGCCATGTGACTGGGTGTGCGTGGCTTTTTTTCCAGCTCCCACTCATTTTGGGGAGCTTCTTAGCCACAGAGGAGCCTCGGGGGGGGGGGGGTTTGCTCCCCTAAGGTTCCTCTGGGGCTCTGAAAGAAAAGGAATAGAACATGGGAGGGGCATACAGCACCCCTCCGAGCTCTGTTTTGGGAGCTTCCTAGCCTCAGAGAAGCCTCTGGGGGGCATTTTTGCTCCCCTAAGGCTCCTCTGGGGCTCAGGAAGAAAAGGAATAGAGCATGGGAGGGGCATGCAGCACCCCTCCAAGCTCTGTTTTGGGAGCTTCCTAGCCTAAGAGAAGCCTCGGGGGGGGGGGGGTTGCTCCCCTAAGGCTCCTCTGGGGCTTTGGAAGGCAAAAAATGGAAGGGGGGGGCTGAGCTCCTCACTCCATTTTTGGTCTTCCTGGGCCTCAGCAAGGGGAATCCTGGCACAGCTGATCTTATCTACAGCTGATTATTGGGAGGGGTAAAAAAGAAAGAAATAGCTTAGGAGAATGTCAGGCAGGCAGGTGGGGTGAGCTAGGATCGGGCAGGAGGGCGACCGGGTGGGGGCCGTGGCCAGCCAGAACTGACTACCGGTTCGGCAACCCACACCAAATTCTTGCTACCGGTTCACCCTATCCATTGCAAACTGGCTGCCCAGAACTCATGTGCTTCTGCTTCATCATTAAACCATCTTTCCAATCAGTCTCCGTGTCTTTCTCCCGGCTTGGAACTGAACCAGATGGATGTTTCTTCCCACAAAACCAAAAGTCCAGCAACCGCAGAAGAAAAAAAACAGGAGTCATCTACAACATACAATGTAAGAACTGCAACAACCACTGTGTATGACAAACAGGCAGAAGACTGGCACAACCCATCCATGAAGATCAACTGGCAGTCAGAAGACATGGTGAAAATTCTTTAATTTCACAACATATAGACAGATTTAACCACAGTTTCAATTGGGAAAATGTGACAATCCTAGACCAAGCAAAGTCCAAAAATGGCAGGGAATTTCTAGAGGTCTGGCACTCTGACAAACAAGCCATCAATATACACATAGACATTAACAACATCTGTAGACTATGCAAAGGAGACAATCAACTAGGCCCAAAGAGAAAAAGACTCCAGCACCTCTCCACCAGTAATCAGCACTCAAATCAGCATAGAATAACTCCAAGGTCAACTTCAGACCAACTACCAAGTAAGCAATATTCCAATTAAGAAACTACCAAAGAACCATTAGTAAACAGCGCAACCAAAGAATCTCTAAGATCACCCACCACCCAGACAAGTTACCAGAATATAAACTGACAGCAAACAGTACTCCTTACTGGCACTGATGATGTTACCTAGCTAGAGTAATGAAACATCTGTAAGAA